TGCTTGAGAAGAAGATGAAAAGAGTTTCTTCTGTTATGAATCCACCTCAAGATTAAAGTCCACTATTACAATCATGGTGTTTAGATTTGTTGGCTTGCTTGTTTAATAATGGACCATGCAGGACACTGAAAGCTAAAATCTCCACCAATGTTTCACTAAATTACAGGATGGTGAAATGTGGTTGAAGGTTGCTTTTTCCATTATTGCCCCTATTTTGACACAACCCTTGCCTCTAAATGCTGATGGTGTTATTAGTATTCATTGCCATCAATTAATGGAATAGAGCTTACTGTAGGTAACCGAAGCTGTGCTCTGTCCCTCATCTCCGAACTGCATTTACCACAAGGGAATGTTGGCCACAGATTGTGAACAATGCCTCCCATTCCTTCACCATTTGGTATTGTTTCTTCCAATCCTGATGGCATCATTGTGCAGAGCTAACTACATTGGAACCCTGCCATATTGGAAGAATTCACAGCTGGCAAGAGCTGGCTGCCATCCAGACAGTGGCACGTAGGGGTCGAAATGCGAGAGCATCTGGCTGTTATGCTCCATCTGTAAACCTGTGACTAATCTTTCCATGTAAACAAAGACATGTTCCAAATAGTGCGCACAATTTGCCCAATTCCATTAGTTATAGGGAATACCAGAGGTATTCCTCTCGAAAACATAAGAGTGTAAGGAATGTACATTTTTCTAAACCTAGTTTCTGCCCTGGTCTTTATTTGTATGTAAAAAAATATGTTATAAGCAAGTAGCAAACTGGATTAAAAAAAGCATCTGCCATAGGATGATGATGGACATGTAGAGAGAGGTGTGGTTTATGCATGGCATTTGCTTCCCACCCTTCAAATTTCATGAGTACCGTGTAAGGATTTAAATTGATTAAATTGGGTGTTCATAACTCTAACCATTCCATATGAAAAAAGAATTCATGATAATTACTATTCCCAAAGATCTCTGTGCTGAAGTATGAAACTTGGTTATTTTAAGGTCAATGAATGTTCACCTAATATAATTATGCAAATATTAGATCCACAGCTATGCACTGAAACAGGTGTGTACCTTTGTGGTGGTCGTATCGATTTCATCCATTGGTCTAACTATGGCATGCCTGTAGGCTTGCTTGTCTTTTCCAAATTACAGCATTTTCTTATAACTCAACTGGCTTTAATTTATCAATTCAAAGCAAATTTTCCAAAGTAACAAAGGATTTGAGTGTGTACTAAATACATACTATAGTTTGAATGTGGGGTCTTTGCCACGTAATATCTCTGCCCCCAAAATATATATTGAAGATTTTAAAAAGCCACGATCTTAGGCAGATCATCTAAAAATCAAAAGCTCAATCTACCCAACATGACTCAAACTAAGAGCAAATATCCTCCTTTGACCATAATATTTCTATCCAATCCTAACATATACTCTGCTACTAATCTCAGAATCAAATCTATGTGGTACAAATAAGCAAAAACCTGCTAGCTTACATGTTTCCATAAATTGGCAGCCAATAAAATTTACATTGCATGTTGGTGGACTTAAAACTGTTCTTGTTCTCCTTCCTCTACACCCATATAGTGTTATAGTTGATCATCCCTTGTCCTTTCATCTTTGAGAGCCCTTATAAAAAGACCACCATACCTACCAGCAAAACCTAGGAAGAAAATTGCCTGCAAGAAGAGAGGAGAGGAGACAAGAGAAGAGGGAAAGGAAGGGAAGGGAAGGGAAGGGAAGGGAAGGGAAGGGAAGGGAAGGGAAGGAAAGGAAAGGAAAGGAAAGGAAAGGAAAGGAAAGGAAATCCATGGAGGGAAAAATAATGCATTTTTGGCAGCTTCAGAAATATCAAATTTAATGGTAGAGCTGCTGTGAAATTACATTGAACGACACTTCTTACAGCTCAGATTCCTTATGCTGCTTATTTAAGCACATGGATAGTCATGCAAAGAGATTGTATTACATAAGAAATGTGTACATACAACAAGCTTTCAGGGGAAAAATGCAACAGCAAATCTGAGATAAATTGATATTTTTTGAAATTAATGAAGTGGGAAATTGAAGTTCACATGACTAAATAAAAATGTATTAATATTTCTTGTACAAAAATTAATGAGAAACGGTGTCATGATAACATTTAAGTACTATTAGGTTAAACCATCCAAATTATGACACTACTAGGAAGTTAACTAGAACATAATGACAAATTTTAAAATCTTTTTGCTTAACAAGCCTTTTCTTTGCATCCAATATATAATTATATAAATATCCTGAATAAGAGAAGGCATGCATCCTGAATGCATTTAAAATTTAGAGACATTCAGTACAGGTATTGCAAGCCCTAGCTTTGCTGGTATTTAAACCTGTAGTCCAATTCTTAGGATAAGACACAAGAGACTATCTGCAAACTTGTCTCCCCTATTAAGTGCTTCGGCGTATTCCTACAGTGCTTCAGTAATTGCATTAATGGCTACTATTTCTTTAAAGTAGGTAGTATCAGTTCCTGGGGCCAGAGATCATGCAACGCTGTGGGTACTTTGACCCTGAGCTTTTGGTGTGCGAGAGAGAGGCGCACTGGGACTTCCTTCTACACATTTCAAAAATTAACATGAGCTAACAAATAGGAGATTTCAACTTATGTCTTGTTATAGTGCTTTGATGGATTCCAAAGCAGATGTAAGATAGTAGACTTTGATCTCAGAAAGTCAGTGACTTATTAAAGTCAGCATACAATTAGAAGAAAGTGTTAATTAACAGAATGTCAAAACCGAAGCTGTCCATTTAAATCTGAATGCTTGAAAATATATATATATATATAACATCACCAAGGTACTTCCAATTTTATGCGGGAGAAAACCCAAATAACCAAAGTATATATATATATATATATATATATATATATATATATATATATATATGTATGTATGTATGTATGTATGTATGTATGTATGTATGTATGTATGTATATATGTATATGTATAGATAGAGATAGAGATAGAGATATCTGTATATATATGTATGTATGTATATTCATTCACTTCATATATATGTATATGTGAGGGTGTGTGTGTGTATGTGTATGGTGTGTGTGTGTGTGTGTGTGTGTGTGTGTGTGTGTGTGTATTTGTTTGTTTTCTGAGGTTTTCGCAGGTATATGTATGTAGGTCTTTGGTTATTCGGGTTTTGTCCTGCATAAAATTGGAAGTACCTTGGCGACATTTCGATGAAGTCTCATTCATCATCTTCAGGCTGGTGTCTTCGGCCTTGTGCTTCTGGGAGCAATTTGTGATCGTGGTTGTTTCAACTGGCAGTTGAAAAGAAGAAACAACCACGATCACACATTGCTCCTAGAAGCACAAGGCCCAAGACACCAGCCTGAAGATGACGAATGAGACTTCGTCGAAACGTCGCCAAGGTACTTCCAATTTTACCTGGGAGAAAACCCGAATAACCAAAGATATATATATGTATGTATGTATGTATGTATGTATGTATGTATGTATGTATGTATACTTACTGTGGTGAAATCTGAACCAGTTTGCTACCAGTTTGCTGGCCATGCATACGCCCAGCGCACCAAGCACATGCTACATGCGCAGGCACAGCTCACATAAAATGTGTGCTGTGCATGCATGTGCATTTCACACCAAACTCACTCTGTGTGTGCATCCACAGTATGTGCCCAAAGGAGGCTTGGGAAGGTAAGTAGAACAGCGGGGGGGCGGGGCAGAATCAGCTGTGGTACACAATCTTGGGAAACTTTGTTTTAACTTTTTTAAAGCATTTTTTACTACCGGTTTGGGCAAATAGGTAATAAAAAATGCTTTAAAAAAATAAAAAAAAGGCTCGGACGATCACAGCTGTGCCGCGCAATCCTCAGAACCTTTTTTTTCTTTTTTAAAGCATTTTTTTACTACCTATTCCCCAGAACCAGTAATAAAAAATGCTTAAAAAGTAAAAAAAAAAAAATTCTGATGATCGCATATCGCTCAGCTGATCATCAGAACTTTTTTTTTACATTTTTTTACTACCGGTTTGGCGAACCAGTAGCATTTTTTACTACTGGTTCGGGAGAACCAGCCCAAACCGGTAGCATTTCACCCCAGTGTTTGTGTGTGTGTGTGTGTGTGTGTTGTGTATAAACTTTTTCATTTATGGAACTTGAAAAGTGTCTGGTTCTTGACTGGTGAGTGAGCTGGTCTTGTCTGACATAACCAAAAATGACCATGTTGTTTCTTAGCTGTCAACATAGACTTTCTCCAGGGAGTCTGGGCCACCGTTTGCCATTAGCAAAATGCTAAGAGTGATATCACACATGTGGGAGATGGGATGCTTTGTGCGCGCACATACACAGGCACACATGCACACACACACACTTTCACACAGGTCAGAGTTCTTTTCATGTCAAAGCCAAATCTTTACAAACAAGCTCTGCTAATAAAATCCCATTTTAAAAATAAAATGTAGAAGAGGATAAAGGAAAGAATTCTCTTATTGGATAGCTTATTATACCAAAAACAGATGCTCCGCTCCCACCCCCAAACTGTTTGATAGCTACTGTCTTGCCACATAAAAGTGTCTATCAATTGTTTATCCAGATCACTTTTCCACACAGTACCTGAGTCATGAATACCAACACACTACTACATTTCTGCATCTATCACTACTGTGAATTCCAAATGCACTTCTGTTATATAGTCTATTTATGGAATTCTTCGATATCTAATTGGGCACAACTTTTTTTTTTCATAAATCTTAATTTGCCTACAAAAACTGCATGAACAGTATTTTTTTTTAGCTCTAGTCGAAGGCATCTGGTTCCTAATCCAAGTCTTTTAGGAAATGGATTTGGTGAATGCTTCCTAATGATTTTCAGACATTGGTGCTATGAAGAAATAGGTGTGGTCAGCGTTAGTTGTTTTGCTTGCTTGTTTATTCTTTCTTTTGCAAGTTCCAATACATAATGCTCGTTAATTAATAGTACTTTCTCTCTCTTTTTTTTTCAGCTATGTCTGGGCTTGTAGTTCCGCCAATGTAAATTCATTTTTTTGTTTAGCTACTGTAGCACCAAGTTCAGAAGATGAGCTTTCTAGGGGACAAGTTTAGTATATAAGATATGCTGATGGAACCAGTATCTTCAAAATACAATCAGCAAAACATTGAAATGCTACAAAAAAAACAAAAAACAAACTTTGTTTAAAAAAGTTTATTTAAAATACTAAGAATCAACATGCAAACAATCAACTTCTTCATGAACAATTCCATTTTATTGACTGAACTTCTCTCATATTTTCACATTTCTTGGTCCTGAAGAAAAAGGAAAAAGCGACACCTATTTTGTATAAAGTTTCTGATTACGTCTTGGCTATGTCTAGTACTTGCTATGTGTCGGGAAAAACTTTGTGGATGCACCATTTTGATTATCATGAAACACTGATGAAAAATGCCTCCAAAACATTTTTCTGTACTCATAACTAGATTCACAATGGTTGTGTATCTCTATAATGTGAAATATTTTTTTGTGGTGAAAAAAAGGGGGCCAAGGAGGAGGTATGAGCCATCAAAACTGGGGTTGGGGGGGGAAAAGGATGAATATATGATTTCAAATAATTTTGGGAGACGGGAGGATGGGAGGGTTGATCATTGCTTAACTTCATCTTAATGAAATGGAACTTTGTAACTTATTGTAGTTAGAAATTGTAACTTTGATATTGAATTCTCTTGCCTTCAACAAGCACACTGACAGAGGAAAATGCTACTGTCTGTTGGTAAAAAAAATATACTTCCACTGCTAGAGCTTCCTGTTAAGCAAGTGTGATCTGCAACATTTTTTCAACTTTTGCTAGCACTGTATACTATTGCATTCTTAGGCTACTGTGAAGTCTATGTTTCTTGTACCAGAAAATTGTCCTTTTGACTTCTAGATCCTACTTCCCTAATGTGTTTTGTATGTGGTTATAAAATTGTAGACTTTTGTGATTTTGCCAAAGTTGTAGCTAAATATTTATACACTTGTCTTGAATTTTTTTCAGATCCACTTAAATATTTAGAAGATCAAATTTTATTCCTTTTAAAGATAAGGAATAAAATAGCCCTACATTACAACTTCCTTTCACATGAACACTTGCAATCACCAAGGGAATTTATTTTGTAACATATTGATTATAAATATTGTATTTATCTTTGAAATTTTGTATATTTTCACCATTTTTCTTGTATGTATGTTTTTTGTCATTTGACTGGTATTGTGATGCTGTGAAAAGCATTAAGCCAAGAACCGCTGCCTTCATATGTTTATGTTTAAAAAAAAATGTGTTCATTCATTTCATTTTGTATTTCACAAAGTTGTTATTTGTTTCGACTTTCCATCCTTCTGTTATTTTGAGGAAAAACATTGTTTATTTTTATATTATTTTTAAGTTATCTGAACAAATAATTTTGAAATAAAGTTGTTTGTTGTATAGTTAAAACAAAATTGTGCCACATGGCTGTAATGAATACTAGTAGAAAACGTGCATGTAATGCGGCCACAGGAAACGAAAGGTTCTCCTATGTTGTGTTTAGATTTTTCTTTTTTTCTTTCTCCATTTTCTCTGATTTCTGATTTCTTTTTAAAAGTTGCCACCCATGACTTTGCCACATAGCTGAACTGTTTACTTTGGGGGGGGGCAGGGGAGAGACGAGAATCAGAAGCCTAAATTAAAATAATAATAAATAAATGAAATTCACTTCTGATGTTTTAATTACAGTGTTGGCCACATGAACTTCCTTGGATGCCTTAAAATTAGACGTCTTTGAACAACTTTTGTGCTGTTAACCATGGGCTTAGAACAAGTACATCACTACTTCACTTGGATAATTTATGGTGTAGAAAAGCACAAATGTGGGGGTGCAGTTTTTTTCCCTGTGACTCTAGTTACCTGCCCTCTGTTCACTTTAAGGAGGCTTGTCCCAACCCCCTAAAAAAAGGCTAATTGTAATATCACAGCTGACCTTGGTAAACTCTACTCTTGGTCAATGGCCATGTGACCTCTTTTTGTATCTGTTTTCTGCTGCACTTTGCATTATCTGTAACTTAGCACTGTTTAACAAAGAGAAAGACTTTTTATGCATTTGGGATCAGACCTGATTTTATAACCTTTTTTTATTTTCAGATTTTTGTTTTGTAGAGACACTTACAGTAAGGACTGTAATTTATAAACTGGAACGATTCCTTTAATATATTGTGCCTGTTTTAGTGCCAATCCTGACATAATTATTCCCCCCCTCCCCACTGTTCTTTCTTGCACTAAATGCTTTCCAATGCAGCACTGCAAAATCACTTTTGCACTCTGCAGCAGAATTAAATTTCTCAGCAAAAAGGAGGGACCATTTTTTTAAATACAAAAGTGCACATTTTCAGGAAATGTTTATAAGAGGTTTTAAAATTGATACAAATATATCACAAATTACAAAACATGCCAGACTTTTTTTCCTGTGAGAGTCGTTAAGGCTTAGCTAAGTGGAAAAGCCGAAAAGTCAAACCGAAAGTGAATTGCCTCAGTTTAACTTTATATAAGTATGATTTTGATCTTAAAAAGGAAAGGTCAGGCATACATGATCAGAACATTTCTTCATAAATACAACCTGTTTTGTGTTTTAGATTAATTAGTCAATTCACTCATATTTCCTCATCTCCAAATGGGAAACTTCACTAAATGATAGATTTTACTGTTAAAGACCCTACAATAAGATTGTTTTATCTGTACATTTTTCAGATATTTAACTGTATAAAAATGTTCATTTTACACAATATTTAATTAAAGTATTTCTTGTCTGTGAATTTCATTTCTGCTAATTTTTCAGGTTTAATTATTAAAATGTAAGAACATAGAAGCCAGCAACAGTTGGAATTGTTAAAATCATTTTCGTGTTTTAAAGAAGACACTCCCACGGTGTAACTAAGGACTTGCTTACTCGTTGATTTGAATCGCTGAATGTATTACTGATGTAGTTCCTCTGAAAATTGTTTTCATTCAGTTGATATCAGATGACATGAAAGCTGCTATATTTTCCTTGTGATGACTAGTTTGCACAATGATGGTTTATATGGCTTAATGTTGCTTTCATTCATTAACAAATATGAATGTGTCCATTCCTTGCCCTATGAAAAAGGAAAGTCAGACAAATTAAATATGATTGATAATCTTAATAGAACAACCTATGCAGAGGCACCTGATATTCTGATGATGCTTGTTGCTTCTAATGTGAACATCAAGGCAAACATGTGCTGGAAAGAGAAATATATCAAATATCTCTTGATAAAACACTAAGTTGCTTCCAGTTATGTCAACACTATCCTGAACAAAAACAACTTACAATTTTTTAGATCTAATTCATAGGAAGCCATAAAAGGCAAAATATTTTTGTTTTTTTGGCAGTATAGATTACAAAAATAGGCCATCCCTACACAGAGGTTAATGAAGTTATGTCCCTTTTTCACTGTTTTTAAAAAATTAGGATTTATGCTGATCTAAACAAAGAATATGGTGCAAAGGCATAGAAGTGAAAACGCTTACCTCCCACCACAGGAGATTGAGAGTTCAATCCTGGGCAGCAGCAGATGTTTGTCTATCTGGGCGCAAGGAGAAGGGAATCCAGCAGGAAAAAAAGGGATTAAAGGATCAAAAAAAAGAATATATATACATATATATATATATATAAAACCATTATATATATATATATATATATATATAAAACCTGGCTAGAAGATATATATATACATACATACATACATAATATATATATATATATATATATATATATATATATATATATTATATATATATATATATATATATATATATATATATATATATATATTTATTTATTTGTACCTTGTAGTAAGGAGGTTTGAAAAAGTGAGTAGTTTTGTTAAGGAATAGTTACAGATCAAAGTTAATGGCCTGTGATGCAAAGTTTATCATAACAAAATGATCTTACCCAATAAATCAATGAGATTACTTCCATTTCTCTTATTGGACATTCCATTCAGGTTATGTGAAATTCACAAGGGTGAATTTGAAATAAAGACTAAAATTCTGCTATTAAAATAAATGGGGGAAAGGATATTCACTAATATATTGCTAAGGTATATAAATCCATTTACAATAAGATCTGCAATATCTTGGCAATAATTATAATATTTATGACTGCATTCTGAGAGCCCCATGTGATTTACAATAAATTGAATTAAAATAGCAACTAATATTAAAACAACTTCAATAATGTTTTAAAACACACACAGGCTTATGCATATATATATCGAAGAAAAAAGAAAAAAAATATTCCAAGTCATGAATGCTCAGCAGAAGCCATTGGGAGATGGGGCAGGAAGACATTTTGCAAATGAAAATTTGAAGAAATCCTACCTGAAGGCATAAAGAGGCTACTTCTTTAGAATTTGAGTAGAACTGACAGTTCAGTAGCTTCTCTAGTTGAATCATCAATAACTTCTATGAAAGAACTTTAGGTAAAAGATGATGGGAAAGAGGCCTGGCTGAGACCCTTGAGCGCAACTGTCAGACTAGAGAGATGGTTCAAACTTGCTGAATAAACTGTGCAGTTTGCTTAAGCACAGTATAATATTTAGGATCTGGTAGAATTCTCTTGAACAATTAAAATGATGGAGGATAAAGCTATCAATGCCTCTACTCACAATGGCTGTTCTCCAGAATAAGAGATAGGATCCCTCTGAATTTCACTTTCTGTAGAAGCAGAAAGAGGTTTCTGCCTTATAGGAACTATAATGATTGACTTAATATGTCTCTTCTGACCCAACGAATACTCTTAATATATCCTTGAATTTCCCATGTTGTTGCAACCAATAGACCAAAGACTGCAATTTTCAGCTGTTGACAGATAACTTGAGAGAGAGAGAGGAGAGAGAGAGAGAGATGTGATCTGATTGGCATGAATTCAAAGCCTTGAAAGGATTTGAGGTAGTCTGATGGAAAAGATATCTTAAATTTCTTTTGTTCCCCAAATTAAATTTATTCTCAAAGAGCCACCTTTTCTCTCTCTCTCCTGCTCCTGTAAAATGGCTTGGTGGAAAGAAAGGGAGTAGGAAGTGAAATATTGCATGTAGTGACTGGCAGGTATGTCTTCAAATCAGATTAATTCTTGCAGTCATAGAACTATCTATTGTCCAATCACAATGTCATAGAAGAGTGGATGGAGAGAACACCAGAGAGAATCCACTTAAGATCTTGTACCCTTATTTATTATCTATTTCCTATTCACAGAAGTCCTATCTGTAGCTGGTTGGCATAATGCTTTTTTTTTTTTTAAGAAAACCATTAAAGTGGTACATTTGTACTCATCGTTAATTGATTCTGGAAGGTGCGATGAGTACCAAAAATGATGAGTACCAAATTTTTTCCATCAGGAATAATGTAGTGAGTCAAAAGGCAGCCGACACTAACAGGTTCCAGCTTTTGCACTAAGTACCAAACAAATGATGAGTATCGGGACAAAATTTTCACGTCAAAATGTGTTCAATACCAAATTTGTTTCACAGCTGTTGATTACTAAGGTACCTTTGTCCTGAGTTGTCTCTCATTCTTTACTCTGTCCTCAACTCTCAACAGACAACTGTATTATATTTGTTTCCTTACTCTCCCTTTTTTCAAGCTCCCCTCAGCTTTGCATTTGCCATACTCTACCTCATGATTTTTGCTGCACTTTTAATTATATTATATCCCTCAAATAAACTAGTACTAAGTGGTACTCTTTTAGAAATACTTCAAGGGCAAATGGTTTGAAAAACCCTTCAGTAATTTCAATGAAATTTGGCATGCTTTTAGTTTTAAACACCTATCTTTTCAATAAAATTTGCTTTGTTCAGGGGAAAAACAAACTACTTATCCTACTTTAAAAATCGGATCTGGAAAACATATCATACAAAAATTCTTGCATTGATTTGTATGATATTTTATTTATCATACACCACATTTAATATTTTAGCTTTCCTGCAGAGATCAACCCATTTTGATTAACAAAGAAAAAGATGTAACTATTTATATTTTCCCCACATTCAATGAGAGAGTATGACTCCATTTTGGGTGTATGTGCTCCAAATTTTGGAGAAATTTCAACTCAGTAGGCTGAGGTACGTTCAGAGTAAGGAATTGGCTATAGAGCAGGTATGTTGGCTCTTGTACTTTCGTACATTTTGTTTTCTCTGTTTCTCGTACTATTTTGGAAGATACCCATCACAGACTTTGTTTTTGAATAGCATCATGATATATTTGAGCATAAGTGCCAGAAGGGAAAATATGTTTATTAAATGAGCATCTGAGGAAGATGGGGTGGTGAGAGATGTCACACATGTCATGATATCACTGCTGAAACGACTTAACAAAATATAAGTCATTTGCACAATGACTTTATAACACACATGATGGGGCTTACATTAGGCACCTAGGTTTATTAGTGCTTCTTACATTGCCTGGAGAGGGTTTCTTTTTAAAAAAAAATCTAAAATAGTGATTAAAATATCAAATATGTTTTTGCTATTCCTGTGTGTTAGCCCAACCCACTTCACAGAATGATTATCATGAGGAAAATAGAAGGCAGGAGCATAATGTACCTTGAGTTGTTCAAAGCAAATGCTGAGGTATAAATCTAATACTAAATTAATAAGTAAATCTAGCTTCCATGAGTAACAGTGTGAACAATGGTTAAGGAGTTGGACTATTACTACAAAGACTCAGGTTCAAGTGATCTAGGGCTAGTATCTCTCTTCTTCGCTCCCCCAACCAATGTATCTCACAGGGTTGCTGTTGCAATGAAAGAGGCAATGAGAGTGCTGGGTATGTTCTATTGAGCTTCAGAATGAAAGGCAGGATGAAAATCTAACAAGCAAGCAAATAAGATGTTACACACCTACACAGCAGAGTAAAATGGTAACTTGATGACACCCCCCTTATCAGTAGTTCTGAAAGCACATGGTCATGCTAAAAGGGAAATGTTAAAAAAAAAGTCAAGGTTTTTCTTTTTTAGGAAGTCCTCTTCATTTTCTTCAAAAAAGGCACGGTATCCCATGAGGCCTTGCAACAGGATTCTCCTGGCAGAGCTTCACTATACCACTAGATTCACATACTGGCACACCCACACGCCCCTCCCCCAGCAAGACAGGCAGAAGGGGGCATGGCTTATCCATGTCAGCTGAATAATTTGGGATGTGCATTCAAGCACTGGAAGAACATATCATTAAGAGGCACTTGAGTCTGCAGATGCTATTTTCTCTCTCTCTTTTGCCCAAATAGGTTAATTGTCTAGATTTGATAATACCCACAACACAAGTATTTAGGGTTAATTTACTCTTGTATGTGACTGGGTCTGTTGTGGGTTAAACTGAACTCCCAAATGGTTAATTAACCCCATTTTGGAGTCTCTGCAACATTTTTAAAGCTCTCTCTCCTTTTACTTATCTATACTTGTTGTGGGTATGTCAATGATAGGATTATAAAACCAGGGTTGATTTTAACCTTAGACTGTCTACTGTTGACCTCACCCCATTCCTAAGAGGTCTGTAAGGGGCGTGCATAAGAGCACCAGAGTGCCTGCCATCCCTGTCCTAATGTTCCCTTTAATTGTATTCATTTTATGTATTCAATTCATGCTTATACTTATATATATATATTACCTAATAGGTTCTTGACAAATAAATAAATAAAATAAAATAAAATAATTTGGTTGTCCATCAGCTAGCAGCAAAGAGTTGCCTAAATTTTGCCATCTAGTGGTCAGGAATTTTAAAGTCCAAATTTGATAATCCTT